CCTGGACTAGTGGGAGGTGTCCCTGCCCATAGCAGGGGGTTGGAACTAGATGATCTTTAAGGTCTCTTCCGACCCAAAACATTTTGTGATTCTATGAACACTTCCACCAAACTTGGTGCATCTGAAAACTTACTGAGAGTGCACTCAACCCCCTCATCCAGATCATTGATAATTATATTAAACTGAACTGGCCCCAGTACTGAGTCCTGGGGAACACCACCTGTGACCGGCTGCCAGTTGGATTTAACTCCATTCACTGCCGCTCTTTGGGCCCAGCCATCCAGCCAGTTTTGTTACCCAGCAAAGAGTACACCCATCCAAGCCATGAGCAGACAGCTTTGCCAGTAGAATGCTGTGGGAAACAGTGTCAAAAGCTTTACTGAAGTCTAAGTGGACAACATCCGCAGCCCTTCCCTCATCCACTAAGTGGGCTACTTCATCACAGAAGGAGATCAGATTGGTCAAGCAGGACCTGCCTTTCATAAACCCATGCTGACTGGGCCTGATCACCTGGTTGTCCTGTATGTGCCATGTGATGGCACTAAAGATGGTGTGCTCCACAACCTTCCCCGGCACTGAGGTCAGACTGACAGGCCTGTAGTTCCCCAGATCCTCCTTCCACTCCTTCTTGTAGATGGGCATCACATTTGCTATCTTCCAGTCAGCTGGGATCTCCCTACTTAGGCAGGGCTGCTGACAAATGGTTGCAAGTGGCTTGGTGATCACTCCTGCCAGCTCCCTCAGTACCCTGTGGTGGATCCCATCCAGTCCCATAGACTGGTGTATGTCTAAGCTGTGCACCAGGTTGCTAACCATTTCCCCTTGGATTACAGGGGCTTCATTCTGCTTCCCATCCCTGTCTCCCCTCTCAGGAGGCTAGCTACCCAGAGAACAACTGGTCCTACTATTAAAGACTGAGGCTGAGAAGGCATTAAGTACCCCAGCCTTTTTCCTCATCTTTTGTCACTATGTTTTCTCCTACATCCAATAAAGGACGGAGATTCTCCTTAGTCCTCCTAAATGGGTGGGTAAAATGTATCAGCTGCATCAAGCAGCCTGTTTCAATTAAGCAGTTTATAGTGTGTTTCATTCTCAAAATCAAAGCCATTAAAGTAAAACTAATCGGTTTTGGACATCTGTAGAAAAACCAAAGAAGCTTATGAGCAAGATTAACATGGGAGGAAGAGATCTCATATCTCACTTCTTCCTCTTCTCAAGGGAAAACACTTATTTTCCAGCTTCCAAGAACTCCTTAAAACAGCATTCTCAGCTGAAGATTAAACTTAATATGGGCTAGCTTCTGACAGTGTTAACAGCAACAAGGACTTCAGGCCCAGGTACCACACCTCCCCAGTCAGTGTCATATGCACGAGCCTAGAGTCATGCTGCTCTTACTCTGCTTTACTGATCACTTATTTATGCAGAAAAATTAAAGGTTTCCATAAGCTGCTTATGAGGGAAATCACATGAAACCACCCCATACAATAGTATCCAGAGAGGGAGAGACTATCCACATCACCTCCTCCAGTTTTGGGAAGCCAGTTCCAGAAACACTTTTGAAACAGGAAGTGCAAAAATGAGTGCAGTAAGTTAAGTGTGAATCTGCAAATAGTTCCACAAAGACTGAAATCTCACTGAAAGCATACTTCTTAATTATCCAGGATATTGTGTAGCTTTGTTACACTACAGAATGACAGAATAAGAGCATCTTATTTTGTTCCTACAGAAGGTTTTTTACAGCCCAGACAAAAAGTTCTAGATTTGCTTTCACAAACTCAGTTCCTAAATCACACATGTTGTAAAGTTTCTCACCTCACTGACGCTTGGCGGCCATTTAAATCCAGCCACTGTTCCAGTCATCACTCTCTTCACTGTACTTGACTCTGGAATTGTGAGGTCCTGAGGAGACAGAAGGAGGATCAGAAAGAGCTTACAAGCTGGCTCAGTGACTGGCCACAGCACGTTGATCATGAGCACACATACAGAGTTCTGAAAAGCACTACAAATGCCTTCCATTTCACGCTTTTCCATGACGAGTTCATATTTAAACACACAGCGTATTAACAACACAGATGAGGTGAAGAAAACGTGAACTGCCAACAAAGGAATTCAACCACAGTTATGGCTTCTGGTGAATCCATTTTTCATACACAAGAGGAATCACTGTACTTGTGTAGTCATGCAATGAGCAGAGAAGCAAATGAACACCATTTGATGATCCCGCATCTTCCCCTGATAAATGCAAATGGGTGAAGAACAACAGCACAATCAGGGGTCTGAACTCTTCTAATCCACTGTCATAAAAAAGTAGCCTACCTGTTAACAGGAGAAACTTTAAAGCATGATGCTGACAGACATATCTGCTCAAGTTTGCAGAATCCATCAAACAGAAATGGATATGTGGACTGCCCCATTAATTTGACAGGCCTTGATTTGTAATGTCACGGTAATATTTAATGAATCAGGTTTTTTACTGTTGAGCAGATTAAAATTTATCTTTCTTATTTCCCTAAGATATATAGGTTTAAAATAGGTCTTTATGCTATAGGTCATAGACATATGCTGTAGACATATAGGTCTTTATGCTATATGAAGACAACATGAAGGACTTCTGCATAGTATGTGTTATCTTCCTGAAATGAGGGTTCAGGAATGGAATCACATTATCTTCCCTCCAAAATTACTTTCTTAAAATGCACAATAGACCTTAGTGTCCACGCAGAACCACAAGAGAAGAGCACTGTTTGCATAAAGAGCAAGACTCCTGGAGGTAACCCAGACTGATGCAACTGTTAGCAGGGACAATTTAGCCATCAGCCTCCAACCTTAAAGTGTCATTTCAGTCTAAGGAGAGCCTTGCACTCTAAAATCCTCTCCTTAGAGACCACACTCCTGTTTCAACTGGTAAAGTGTGGATTAAACCTCCTCTGATACCTATGAAGTTATGTTGGTCCTTTGAAAATATTAATGTAAGCTTGAAAAAGAGTATTTGAATGATCATGTATGCCTACAGAGCATTTCTAGATAGAGCACACCTCAGCAACAACTTGATCTTTTAATTTTGTGCATCCTTATTACTTGGAAAGCCAGAATTTGGACTGTGATGGAGCAAAAACTCCCAAATCCCAACGCGGCAGTAATTCAGGACAATGACACAAGTGTTTTCTGTGCTAGGGCTAAGAATTTTGGGAAATTATGAGAAACAGGTAAGACGACAGCAAGATTTCAAAATTATTTCACAGGCTGAAAAATAGTACTAAGGTAGTATTGTTATATTTTCATGGCAATTTCTTTAATTGTCAGTACACTACTTTCCAGAAGCTATAAGACTACTTCCCTCCATTAGCCTGCTTATTTTCATGGTCTGTGGCCAGACATTTATCACATACCTGGCCACTTCTTTGTGATAAGTCATATAAAACTCTTCCACCTGTAATTTACCAGTGAATTTCTACTACCACAATTCACTCACTCAAAGTGCTCTGATACTGTGAGGTAGCTAATACAGCAAAACCTAAGCACGCAGTGTGTCAGCACAATCAGAATTCTCCCAGCCATCAGTTTTGATCAATTTTGGAATAAATCTATCTCAAAGACACAAAAGCATCTTGCAAGTGGGGAAAAAAAGGCCCTGTGGGTTATTGTAACAGAAATATGTGAAGGTACAACATGCTCATAGCCAGACACTTTGAAAGGTGAAAGTATGCTGCTGGTAAAGTGTTTCCATCAGTCAAGTCACAAGTCCTGTAATGATTAGTAAGAATTCACAAATATGCATCCATTCCTCTCCTCCCCCAGCTACCCCCAAAAGGATAAACTGATGGGACCTGATTTAACAGAAGCTGGCTCTAAAAAAAAAAAAAAAAAGCCAGTTTTTCCTTCATATGCAATATCTGAGATGACCAGCTTCATTTTACTACATCAAGAGAGTTTGCTGTTCAACCAGTGAAGGTCAATCCATTCATAATTCTGGAGATCAAAGACTACCATCTTGACTTGCATCCAGAAGTGCACTGAAAGCAAAGATTGTGAAGCACAGCATAATGTAATCCCTTTGAAGCACAGATGAGCAAGCAGGCTGCTGCATGGTGTATCAGCTGTCTCCCAGTGGTCTTCAGGCGCAGTCTCCGACAGAGCACGTGCATTGTAATAATCCACTGAAATCATTATCCATTTGGAAAAGGAAGATCTGGACCACAACAGTGAGTTCTACAATAAATAAAAAGGCTGGAACTCTAGATGAGGGTAGACAAAAGTATTGGTGGGTATTGTTGCTGACACAACATTCAGAAATAACAGGGAAGTAATGGGGATAAAATAATAATGCTCCAAGGCTGGACCTTTATAATGGAGGATGGAAGTATATCCTATAGCTTCTGATGGATTCCCCAGGCTAGAAGAGTTTCTTCTTTAAGCCCTAGCCCTTAGGAATACCCCACCCTCTGCAAGTACTGAGGGTGAAGTGACTACTAATGACTTAATCACACAAAGTAGATGAGACGGGAGAAGTCAGGAATCAGATGAAGAGGACATCTCTTCACTAACTGAACTTGATGGATGGCAAGATGGAAGGTGGAATCTCACGATACAGCTCTCAAAGCCCTCTCAAACATATAAATAGAGCCACTCAAAATAACTAACTAGTAAAAATTACAGGAAGAATCAACAATATGCTTGCCAAAGGTATCAGGCAGACAAATGGTCTAGAAGCAGTAACATGGAACAGCTTAAAAAACCTGATACTGAACTGACTTTTCCTGCTGGCCTTTTAGTCAAGGTGCCAGTCAGCCCTAGAGTCCATCAGCAAAGTCCAAAGGGCACTGGCGGACATGCACAACACAAACCTTCTCATCCTTGGGTGGACGCCCCCGCTTTCGGGGGCTCTGCTCCTGGGCTCTTTTCAAAGGTGATTTTGATCCTCTCTCTGACGATACAGAAGAGACCCTCTTTTTTCCTTCCCCTGTGCCCTTCTTCAGCTTCCCTTCAGACAAACTGGCTTTACGCTTCTCTTCACCAGCAGATTGCTTGCCTCTTTCTTCACTGGAATTACGTCGATTCTTCTCTTCATTGGAGTTATGGGAAGACGCCTGAGAGATTACAGAATAGAAGAGGGTAAGGAAAGAAGAGAAGAGCTGGAATGATTTTCATGCAAAACCAAGGATGCGAAGGACTCTGTGCTGACTACTATTAAGCAAAACAACAGGACAGTAACTTGAAAACTAGATATTTGTTAGCCCTTCGAAGCCGGTGAGTGAAGTTCCTGGTTAGCTCTCCTGCAAAAACATATCAGTTCAAGCAAGCAACAGAACAGGCCACTTGAAGACTTGCTGGGAGTGCGTGCACATATATGCACTTCCAATATACTCAAGACAAGATTAGTAAATATCAAATTCTAGACCAAGGCTTAAAACTGATTTATCAAATCATCATAAGCAGATCAGTTAGCCTCTTCAGTTTCTCCACCAGTTTAACAACACTTTTTTCCTACCAAACAAGACTGAATGGGGAGGAAGACAGGATAGGAAAGAAAAAAAACCAAACCACCAAGTAATGAAAACAAATCCTTCCCCAACTTGCCAGAGGCAACACATAAAAATACATCTCACCATCATTCATGACAAGGCTTGTTTTAGTGACACAGTAAAAAAGAGCCCACTCACCTGGTCCTTGACTTTGGTTTTTCTAAGAAACTCCTCTACAGCATCCACAGCTTGCTGGAAGCGCTTCCCCTTGTTAATCTTTATCATTTCCTCTTTGTGAGGGTGATAAGGCTTCAGCTGCTCCACTTTGATCCAAGCACTAGAAACCAAAAAAAAAAAAAAAGTTAGTTATATTCTCCAAACAGCAACTCTCACAACCATCTCACTTTGAGAAACACAGATACACTTCTTTTCTCCAGACCAACACATAATAGCAGCCCAAAGTCACTTGCTCCCTACAACCTGAAGGGCTGTGATTTTTGCACTCACCAAGAACTTCCTTCTGACACTTTTACTTGGTTTCTCAAGTTTTATACCCTCTTATGACAGCACTGCTCTGCTCTAAGCGTTACTCATATTCTCTATCAGAAAGACAGCTTTTGGATGTAATCATAGGCACTTGTTTAGAACAAAGGCAGTCTAGTGACTGCTCTTGTATCACCAGGAGGAACACCCACAATCACATGCCTCCACCGAAGGCTGCAAATAATCTGAATCTGCTTGAGAAGTTGCTGAAAGCAAAGGCCATGTAACAATTCTAAGCCATCAATCCCTTGCTCAAACGCACTATGCACACACAAGTGTCTGCAAAAACCAGTAAAAAAACCAAAATTACGTATTTCACAATAGAGCCAACCGCAAATAAAATAAAGTTAGCATATTTGATGTACCTTGATACTCTATATGAAAACAACATTTTCACTTTTGAGGAAAAATAACCATTTTCTTCACTGTTAATATTTTAAGATAAAGTGGTACAGTAGTAAAGTATTAACCTGACTGCAGTCCTTTGAGGAAACTCAACTGACTTCCCTGTTTCCACTGTTGCTAAATAGGACTTCTTGACATTTACCAAACGGTTAAGTGGTCAAGTACAGGGTGACAACTCCGCGTTTCTTCAGTTTGACAAGCTCTTCTACCACTTCTTCAGCTTAGGGGAATTCCTTTGCTTTCAACAGTCCTTGTGGCCCTCACAGAGATTAGACCACGTTCCTCTCTCCCCAGATTCAAGCCCAGGCTTATCAGCCACACTGTTACAAAGCTATTTCCATTCTACTGAAAACAGACCTGGATGAGTTTTAGAAAAGCTTTTCCTACGCTAGGATGGCCAGCAGCGCTTCTTAGCATACAGCAGGCCAGCACACAGTAAAAACCAGTCAAACCAAACTTCTCTCGTCCCAAAACACCTCTATGTTACAAATATTGACTAGCCACGATTACAGGTTTTATATATTCTCCAGTGCGGTCTAGCAGGTGAAGTGGTTTAATTGCTGCCTTTTCAGACACTGTAAACATCATGTCACCTCATAAAGGTGAAAATAATAACAACAACGATAATACTAATGCTTTGCTGGATCTTGCTTGTCCTTTCTTCGCGAAGTAGAAAAGCCCAATAAACTCTTTAAAATTTTATGGAGATCTTTGTCTTCACTGGCACTAGCCACTGTTTGCAGTCAGGAATCAGCTTGCTTAAGGTAGACTGAAACTTTTTGGGTTGCATTTGGAGAGAGGAGGCCTCCTGCTAGAACTGACTGCAAAAATGCATCCTTTCCACACTGCCAGTATAGCCTACACCACGATTCCACCATAGCCTGGAAGGCGAACCCAGTACTCGTTCACATGCAAAGCTGAATCCTTTTGCTTAGTTTACATCATCTTCCTAATAACCGACTTAACAGAATATAACAAGTCAAATCATGACTTTCACACTAGAGCCCACCATCCAGCAGCTATTCAGAGAATCCCTCCTAGCTGCCCAGACATTTACAATTCTCTTATACTGTAAAACTCTTCTGTATGGCACTCAGTGTCAATGCATCCCTAGGTGCTAGAGAACATCAGCTCATGAGAAGCACTTCCATTATATATAAAAAGGAAACAAAATTTTCAAGTCTATTATAATAAATCACATTAAATGTTATTGACAGAGTTGAATTTTTAAATAAAAATAACTTATTTTCTATCAAGGCATTCTCTTAGGATTCTGCACATTCTATCCCTCCTCACTGCACGTGTTCATTAGCTTCTTTCCACATTACTTTTCCTTTGGTATGGAGACAGTCTGAAGCACAAAGGTTTCCGGCTCCTGGCTTCAAAGGTACACCTTGGCACTTGCGATCCTGCAGGACAAAGAGCTAGATATCTGAGACAAACTAATAAGTGAAAAAGTCTTAGATGTTGCCTCAGGGTCAAAAATAAGAAAAAACAACGATCTTTTCCTTTCGAGTTTATCCTTTGTGTGTCATGTACCTGGACAACCTTCTATAAGATACGACGATGTCTTTTGACATCAGATATTCATAAAACATTTGTGTGCAATGTTTTAAACACTTGAAAACAAAAGCCCTTTCCACCAAACAAAATAGTTCATGTTTATAGATAAGATCTCTCTCTGTTAAGCAATAACCTCAAAGCCAATGAAGGCAAGTATTCAAGAAGTCTCTAGGACACAACATATAAAAGGAGCTACTCCTTCTCTCCTGACTCAGCAATGAATTAATGCCCTAGAAAAGCATCAGTGACATTACTGAAGATGTCATATTTAAGATGAAATTGCATTCATACTGCTGCACAGAGTCAGCTGGAATCTGTAAAGAATGGGCTAAATGGAAAGTGAAAAGATGTAAACAAGATACATTAGTAATGGGTTTCTCTGTTCATTTCTCCATATCCTTCCTCATCCCCTCCAAAAAATATCGCATTTATAAAAGCACTACTCATGTAAAATCCTTGTTACATTCATGAACAATAATCAAAAATCAGAATGCTTGTAAAGCAAGGTCAAGTATGAATGTGACCTGGAGATGCACGGAAAACAATGTCTCAAAAGAGATGCAACAAGACATAGCAGATTCAAATCCACAAACTAACTTAGCACAGGAAAGGAGACCTTAAAACCCTTGACTTTCTAGACACTCTCTGCCAGTCTAAAGATATCAAATTCCTAACGATAAACTGGAGAAATTAAAGTGGAGGAATATCCACAAGTACTCACTTTTTGAAAGCCTTACAGTCAAGAGACGGAAAACAGTGGCACTGTATCTCCAAATTTCTATTACTTATTACAGCCTGGGAAATATTTCATAAAGTTTTACAGCGTAGCAGTTTAGATGCCCATACTAAATGCTAACGCAATCAATGCTGAAAGTCAAAAGAAAATTGCTTGGTTATTTACGAGCCCAGTGTGTGAGCACACAACAGAGAAATCAAGATGGGTTTCCTGCTGTTAAAAGGGAAAGCCCAGATCTTCATCAGTAAAACAACTCAAACGGCTGGACTCTGGAATTCAATACATAAGCTTCTTAATGGAAAAATAATACAAAAATGACCACACTAAATTAGAATAAACGTCCATGCAGCTAAAAGGAGGGGATAATTAGCAAAAGAAAACAAGCAGCAGGGCAATGGTGAAAGAAATTCTAAGTATTAGATTTTTCAAATCTGTGCAACAAATTTTTTTTTTTTTGTTTTGCAGAGTACTTATGCATCCAAAGATATCAGTAAGAGGTGGAAAAGTTTTGATTATAGTGATTTTCAGCTATGGCACTCTGCCCACAGAGATGTCTAACAGCATTCCAGCTGGCTCTGCTGTACAACAGTCTGGCTACAGAAACACAGAGCTCTGCATGGGATAATCTGCCTAAGAGAGAAACACCAGCAATGGAAGCTAACCCCCTCTGTCTGCTTAGCCCATACCCTCCAGCTCCTCAGACTGCCAAAGGGTACCACCTCCAACACCTGGCAAACTTTAAGCAAGTGTTTTCTGATGTCAGAACCTGAAAGAACATTTTAGAAAAACTACATTCGTAAATTTCTCTCTCCTTGAAAACCAGTGAGAGAGCAGTGGCAGAAGAAGAGGGCAGGTATCCCAACAGGATACGGACAGGAAGGCAAAGTTCTGTGCTAAAATCACTGCAGACTATTATCTTGGATTGCAAGCTTCCTCCAATTTTTCCTGAATATATCAAGTCAGGAAGTGCCCCTTAACCCCACCACATTTAGCAAGACTCTTTAGTTTTGTACTGATGCTTCAAAAAGGTGCTATGAGTAAGAATGGACTGCTCCAACTTTCTATTAAGACTTTGATATACAAGTCTGACAAACCATTTGGCTACTAAAAAATATCTAAGGGGGGAAGAGGGTGGGATGGGAAGTGAATGCATGTGTTTGTACACACATCTCTGATGACTGCATGACTCTCCCTAGTATCTCTAAGAAACATAGCAAAATTCTACAATTCTATTATATCTTCAAAGCAATGATTTATTTTTAGTTTTGACAATGTCATAAACAATTCCCACGCAAGCCATGAAATGCAGGAACATTTTGAACTGGATGAAGCACACCAAGAAAGTCCTGTAGGCTATGGGCCTGCCAGTCACGGTTTTAAGGCTACCCCAAGGCCACCCGGCAACTAACCGCCACGCAGCCTCTTGCTCTCCCCTCCGGTGGGATGGGGAGGAAAATTGTGATAACAAAGGGTAAAAACCTCATGGGTCGAGACAAGATCAGGGAGGGATCACTCACCACTTATGGTCATGGGTAAGAGACAGACTTGACTTGGGGAAAACACAAAAAAAATTTAATATGTTAACAATCAAAAACAGAGTAACATAATGTGAAAGAGATTTACTTCTTAGAAAGGCCCCTCTCCCCCACCCCTCCATTCTTCCTGGGCCCAAAGGCTTTGTTCCCAATTTCTCTACCTTCTCCCCCCTGGCAGCACAGGGGGCAGGGAATGGGGGTTGCAGTCAGTCCATGTTGTCTCTGCCACTCCTTCCTGCCCAGGGGAGGGCTCCTCACAGTCTTCCCTGCCCCAGTGTGGGGTCCCTCTCACGTGAGAGTCTTTCACAAACTATTCCAATGCGGCGAGTCCTTTCCATGGGCTGCAGTTCTCCACTGACTGCTCTGGTGTGGATCCCTTCCATGGAGTCATGGCCTCCTCTGGGCGCAGCCACCTCCTCCAGTGCGGGGTCCTCTATGGGCTATAGGATGGTGTCTGCTCCACCATTAAATCTCCATGAATTATCACACTCCATGGACTGCGTGGGCAGGCACAGCCACCTCTTCCAGCATGCAGTCTTCCATGGGCTGCAGGGGACTCTCTGCTCCAGCACCTCCTCCTGCTACTTTCTCTTCACTGACTTTCGTGTCTGCATAGTTGTCTCTCATGTCCTGTTCCTCTCTCCACCACAGGTTCTTTTGCTGGCTCCTGAGAAACTCCTGGCCCTTGGGCAGGGGCTGTGCTGGGTCAGCTGTGTGGAAGCCTGGGCCACAGTAGCAGACTGGGCTGCAGAGGAGGCTGGGCAGGCAGCTAGAGGACCAACCAGGCCAGGCCCTGCCCGGGGCCGCACGGCCCCTCCATGCGCTGTGCCCTCTCTTCAGTATGTCATTCACAGAGCTGCTGATGGGCTCAGCCTTGGCCAGAGCTGGGTTCGACTTGGAGCTGGGGGAACTTTCAGAAGCTTCTTACAGGAGCCATCATGGTACCCCCTCCCCTGCTACCAAAAAACCCACCACACAAAACCACAACATGGCTCTAACTATTAAGAGCAACGAACGCACACATATAGCAGTGTGCAAGTTCTTACATCCCAGTACTTGACTACTGGAATGATCTACAAAGATTTCCTAGGACAAGACTATAGCTTAGGAAACAAAAGGGGATCTTAAAAGCTATCTGAAAAGCACAGTTAGAAACACAGACAAGAGGGGAAAGTTCCACTTCTGTTTAGAAAGACTAAACTAAAATTGTTGTTTATAATCCCATAATTGGATGTTGTTACCTGCTTGCCAGGCCTATGGGGAACCAAGCATCAGCTCTTCTCAATTTCAGATGAAGAATCCTTTTAATGTGACTTACTCTGAGAAGAGATAGTCAGAAAAAGAACGCCTAGGCAGACTAGAAAAATCTCCCATCGGTTTAGAGAAAAAGTTAATAAGAGACATTAATGAGTATGTGCATCACAATTAAGGCAATCACTTAGAATAGGACATGGATATTATATTACTACCATGAACATCAAGGTAGCTTCCACTGTGGTAAAGCACAGGTGTACTTCACAGTTTAAACAAATAAGCAAATTCTTCTTCCATGGGTAGAGAATCCTTTTCTTCCAGAAAACCTATTAGTTTGAAAGTGACATAAACAACTAACTCCACCAACACAATAAGCATAAGGAGCATAGAGTTCAGTAGCAACTTTATCAAAAGACAGGTCTTAGAGCACAGTCTGAATGCACTCCTGCTCTGTCTTTTATGTCTTTGGCCAAAACAACTTACAGCCTTCCAGTTAATGCATTTCCTTGGTCACTGCAGCATTGCACTGGGCCGGTAAGTATTAGTATTCAATTCACGGGTAAAGAAAAACACATTTTCTTCTGTGCTGTATCCTAAGCTATTCAGGATTTCACAAACAACCAAAACCTATCAATACACTACACCAAAACCACTACACTATACCAATACCACTTCCAAACTCATCTGTATGTTTTTATTCACCCATCCACTCCACTCAGATGCACGCACAACAGTTCTTACTTCTAAGCAGCTTTCTCCTCAATCTTTGGTATGGCAAACTGGAGCCACATAAGTCAGGAGGAAACCATTTTTACCTAGCCTGAAACTGTGGCATTTCTGGCCACAGCAGTCACCAGGGAAACCTCAGAAGAAAATAAGACTATCAAGTCTGAGATTGTGACAGTGACAAACCAGCTGGCAAACTGGCTGGCAACCACCCTCTGAAGTTTGAGAGACATTCTACCCAGCAACTAGCATCACTCTCCCCTTACACACACTGGGCAATAGGCAAATGGTTTACATCCAGATTCTCACCTGTTAAACCTTGACAGAGTAAGGCAACAACAAAAGAGCTGTAAAAATGGATCAGTGGCAATGTCACCTTACAAACTTGAAAATGGCATAAAGAGCAAAGGGCTAGAAAACAGAAGCAACATGCACCAGAATATTAGTATGAGTCAGTGTACCCATCACACCACAGACTACAGTCAGTGATGGAGCTCTGCATCCTATTTATTCATCATGCTGTTCATGATGTAGGCTAGTGACATTTTGTCAGTTACATATTTCCACTGTTCATATACACCTAGAAAAAAGTATTTGGGAAACACATTAGTTTACTTGTACCAAATAAGTCAAGGGATTTTTGCTTCATGCTCACATTGTAAGTGAAATCCTTTACATTTTTCGTGATATGGTTTGTTGGTTACACTCAAAGATAAGGATTTTCTCAAGCAGCACACTGGTTAGAACAGCACAGTTCTAACCAGCACACTCTTTTAAAGTTCCAAGTCAGGACAGAACAGGCACACAAGCTTCTCTCTCTTCTATCAGTACTATTTTAAAAGAAAAACAAAGGGGACAGTATTTATTTCTATTTAATTTCAGGTAGAGTATGGCAGTCAAAGCAAGCAAATTTCTAAATCATCATTACCTAGCAGGGAATTATTAAATTTCACAAGCTGGAGACTGGGGGGGAGGGGAAGACATGACAACAACCACACTACCTTGGTGTGCCAGACAACTGGATTTTCCCTAGCCAGAGCTCTAGAACCGTGTAATAAAATTACTTTGCAGCTCTGAACTCTTCATTTGCAATCAGGCTTCTTATCTCAGCTGCTGTACCCCAGACATATGAACACTCTTTCAAACTGGTCTTAATACAAAACATCTCTATATTTGATTAAATAACATGAATAAAAGAATCAAGAACAAATAATCAGGATACAAATAGTTGATCTCCTCAATTTTGAAAGCTTGATTAGCTCAAATAACCATGTTTAACAACAACACCAGCACCAAAAAAACCCTCTGCCCTCAAACCAACCTTCACCTGCCTTATATTACTAGAAATCCCACAAACCTTCCTATCAGTATGCAGCATTCACTTCTACTCCATCAAGTTTAGACCCCAGTTCTTAATGGCAAATGATTTTTATATATTGAGCAAAAATAATTTAGCAGTCCAAAATAATTTCCTTAAGAAACATCCATTAAATGGTCTCAGGTCTTGTTACCTTTTTTCCAAAAGGTAAAGGGTTTTCTAGTCTTCTGCGGATTTTTGTCATTTTCTCCCTTATTGCATGACTTAACGCAAAATAGCAGAAAATGAAGGGAAAAACTGAAAAATTTGCAAAATAATTTTCAGTTTCATGAAATCCCCAAGTTCTCAGGTTTTGGGGTTTTTTTTCCAGTTCATAAGTACCTAAGTCTAAGACAACTATGATTTTGTACACATGTTTGGAATCAATAAATTCTGCCCTGCAAAACGGTAGTCTAACACAGTTTTGGCTTTCCTATAGTGTTAAGTCTTCCCAAGGCACAGCAAGAACGTTTTCAGTCACCAGGTATGACAGTATATTCTTTTACAAATGGCAACCACACGGCTTTTATTTGCCTGGCAGGAAAAAAAATGAATACTCTTAGCTATACCTTTCTCAGACACAGTTACATGCTATAATCTAACCCAGTCACGTCACACCTACTCCCCTAAAAATAGCAAGCTACCAAGAACCTTCCTTCACAGCAGCAACTAAAATCCTAACATGACTGAGTACGCAAGTCTTTACTGTCTTCATAAACCCACAAGAGTGGCTATAGCACGCAGTAATAGTTCAATCTTTCTGCATGTAGATCACAGACAATCCTTTGTTACTGTGTTAGTAAATATTTCTTCCACGAAAGACCCATATTATATGGCACAGTATTTTCACCCGATGAAAACAAGCAGGTACGTACTGATCTTCTGTTCCAAAAAACTTCACAAAGAAGCACTTCTTTCCACGAGGTTTCTTCAGATCTTTAGGTGGATTAACAATCTGAAGGCGATTAAAAGTGGCAGTTAAAAAGCACATAATGAAAATTTATACTCTGTGATTTTACTGTCATGTGTTACAGCTATGGTAGATATTATTTTTTAAAATCTGACTAGGAAGAGAACTTGAAACTGTTTTAAGTCTTTCAAGTGAATATGTAACTCATGTATTTCCTTAGATATGGGTATGCTGTGAGCAGAGTGAAAAAGTACCCAAATTCCCATTCTTAGTGAGGTTTTCTTCTCCCTATCCCAAATAGATTAGCTAGAAATCCTTTTCAAAATTTAGAAAGCTAAATTAAAGTTTGTTCCACTTAGTTAACTTTTTAAATTTACACTTAAAGCTTTGCCTTTACTCCCAGAACACATTGCTTATAAAGTTTAACATATTAGTAAAGAGAAAACCATCACACAGGTGACACCTGAAAGACTGCAGGGGAGCCTGGACCTAACTTGATCCAGTAACGGAACTTTTATGGTTGTCAGCCACATTGACAACATTTTTGCCTGCCACATGCATGCTGTTATCTCAGCACGTTTAGTCCTCATACCTACACCAAAAAATAAAGCCCAAGTTCTTTCAGAGAAGTAAAAACAATAAAAATCGCACATATAAAATTTAATTATTTAAAAAATATTTTTCACCTTTCATCAGAAAAAAACCAACCAAACCAGAAGAGAAAGTTTAACTACTCCCTACTCCCAGAATTATTATCCAAAAAACGTAGCTCTAAAACAGTAACTTAAGAAGCCATACTCTTTATTTCTATGATTTAACACAGTGCACTTAACCAATTCACCACAAGAGGAAAGGAACCTGTCTTGCAGAAAGTGACAGGGATTAAATAACTAAATCTGGGAAACACAATCAGTTCCAGAGCTGGATGAACTGCTCTCTGTTGCTTTTCATTCCATCTGAACTAACAGCTGTTAGTAACAGGTTGAACTTCTCAAATAAAGCCCTAAACTGGTTCACAGTTTAGATTTGTGGGGTATGTATTAAAAAAAAACAAAAACACAAACAAAAAATTAAACAATAATGGAAAGACTTTCAGGCAAAGCTTTCTCTGTGCAGAAGGAAAAAGCAAAACCAAACAAAAACTAAGAAAGCAACAATAATTTAAAAAAACCCACAACAACCAAACCTCACCTTTCCTGGCCATGGAGGATATCGGCCCAGCTTCCCCCTAGAGAAAAACCAAAAGTGTTAGACACTAGAACCAGAGAAATAACAACTACCCCACATCTACCTTTTTGCATCACAAATTTTTCAAATCAAAAGAGTTACAATTTACTCCCAAAACCTACCGTGAAAGGCAAGACATGCAGTTGACACACAAGTATTACACTGTTAGATACCTGCACCTAAACTAAGCCTCTAAACAGTCTGCATGAACTCGCTGGACTATCAGAATTTAAGTGAACAGAACCGCAGCAGCATAGATACTGCCTGGAAGATACAGTGCTATAGTGCTTATTTCTCTTCTAAGAGCTGATCTTCCCTTACAAGGAAGTGAAAAAAGTCTTGATGCAACTAATCAAACCAAAGTTCAGGTTGGTAACTTATATCCATCTGGATAGAAAAACCTAGTGAGCAGAGCAGCTGCTGATTTCCATCTCAGAGAGCTGAGACTCTTAGAAGTTCTCACAGGAAAGCATTAATGGCAGGATCCCCTGAACAGGTGTTCCATTATCACTCTCTTCAGGTACTCGTCACCACAGTAAAACATGCTAAAGATATAAAAGAGCCATAAGAAAGGCAAAAAAGTTTATTTCCTATGCTTGCAAATGTTTCCATTATGAAACTACAAAACACTACTCTTCCTTCACAGAGGACGAAGAGACATTAGTCTTAGCTCAGCACAGCAGCTTTATCCTTATCTTACCCTTGTTACTGACTCGGGCTGCAGTACTCTCACAAAACCTTATCAGTCATTGTCTTGCAAGAGACTGGCAAAGAACCTGTGGAGCCTGCCAACTCCTGAACCAAAAAAATTTCAGCAAGTGGCACTGCAGCCCCTTCTGAGATGGCAATGCTACAGAGATGATTTGGTAACGATGGTCAGGCAGGAACACTGTCAAGAGCTGCAACTGTGAGCAAGTCTCACATTCAATGCTTCTATTCTTGTGCTGCACAAGACATTCATCAAAGCCTTTCACATGTTTCTGTCTTATTGTTCCAGTTCTGCGATGGCTCTAGGGATAGGACCTGTCTAAGTTGTTATGTATGAAACTAAAGCAGGATAATCTGCATTCCAACACCAAGAGCAGTGCACTCCCCAAAACCTCATTTGACAAAATATTTGCTAAAAGAAACCAATCTTTACTTACTTTGCTATATAAATTAGACAACTTCACAGCATTGTCAATTTTTCAGATGAGAAACTGCAGTTGTCACAGCCTGGAGCACGCGCTTCTTTTTATCTGGGATATAAATATAAATGCATGCACTTGCTGTTGCGGATTAGCTATTTCTTGCAAGCCCTAGCAGGACACCCTAGCCTAGCAAGCACAGTAGAGCCTATGCACTTAAAAAATCAGAGCTTACAGGACTCAGTGGAATCCCCTCAGTTCTGCAGATCAGGAAATACAAAATCACGGCTCTCTGACAGTCTGAGGTTAAAGCTGGAGTGACAAGGGGAAACTGCTTGTAAGCTTCAACAGGGAGATCCTAACCTGCAAAAAACCACTGTTTTCCCAGATTGTTGCATTGCTTCATTAAAGCACTGCCAAGAAATGGTCTCGTTGCTCTCCCTAAGCACCCGCTACCTTATTTATGTCCTTTTCTCCTCCCCTGAGGAGACCGCATTTCCAGACGAGCCCCACAACGATCGCCCCTCTGTCCCGCTCCCCTCACCCCCTCCATCTTACACAGGCTCTTTCATGCGCCGCCTCCCT